GGTACAACCTCTATGGCTGCAGGGGCCTCCTCAACAACTGGTACAACCTCTACGGCTGCAGGGACTTCCTCAACAACTGCCGTTACTTCTGCTTGTGTTTCAATTTCAAGAGGCTTTGCGTCAATTGATGGAGTGTCCTCGGTATTGGGTGCCATCGTATCCGTTTCTTCCATTGTCTTCAGTACCTCTGAAGTAGAGGCAGCTGCCAGTGGCACTGCAACACAAAATCCAGCCATCCACACGTCACTAATGCCCAGGATGTATCTCCACACATTTAGCTATAACCTCCAGACGGTTCAGGAAATTCTGTTATTGGCATTTGTCTTAATTGAATCTGTGCGGTGTCACTGTATGCAGCTCTGCGGTAATTGTGTAAAAATGTCAAAAGAATGGAAATTGTTAAGACAACATTACTGAAAAGCTATGGTAAGAAAATATTGAATTGAAATTGATCTACCTCCTGCAGATACAAAAACAGCAAACTTATCACAACAGCACAATGATGCATTAGTGTATCCAACAACACATTTTGAAACCGCCAACTTTGACAGTAACCGCAAGAGGATCTGCAAGAAATTCTGGTCAGGAAATCATTTCAAACACTGCTTTACAAACATGAACTTGTCAATGCCACCTGGTGGACAAAGTCTGAAAATGTGTGCAATAAAATGAGACGCGCTAAAACTTTATGATTTCATGTGGTACATAAGATGAGTTCATCTAAGAATAGCATTGCAGGGGAATCTGTGATCCTCACAACAGTTTTAAGGGGAATGAACGGCTTGAAATATAACCTCTTATAATTCTCAGGACAGCTTAAGATGACAGACCAAATCAGACAAATCAAAGACGGCAGTAAATCTCTGGTTTGACAAAAGCTTTTATTGTTTGGCTCCAGGAGTTGATGGGAACTGTTCACAAAGCTCATTATCCAGTTGTGAGCAAAATAAAAATATGATCACATAAGTTCTGAATCTTGTGATGACTGAGGATGGTATGGATTTTTTTCTTTTTTACACTCTCTCTGACCTTATGGATCCTGACAATTTCACATAACATGGAAAAGAACACACTGTGCAGTTACAGAGTTTGTACAGAGCCGTTTAGTCTGTAGTAGGATGCACACAACAGTATCACAGTTACGGATGAACAAGCATCTACTTAGTCTGCGATACTTGGAAGAGCAGTACAACATTACAGAGGTTTATGGCAAAGAAATACAGTGTTTAGCTGAGTCGCAAAAGGGGCTTCATAACAAAACAGTATCACAGCATCTGTTCTGGGTTTCTATTTACTCTGAGGTTGGCTGAGACTGATATAAGCCTAGGGCTAACCAAGAAAGGAATGACCAGGTTTGTCTGTTATCTCTAGTGTCCTTACGTCTCTATGAGTGATGTTTGAGCTCACTGAGTGATCACATTTATTTCACCCATAACTGCAAATGAGCATCTTAAAAAGAGCTCACTGCCATTTTGGATATGTCTCCCAGTAGGTGGTGTTCGGCTGTAAATCAGAGGACGCCGATAGCCTCAGACCCTGAGGCCACGGGCGTGATGATGACTGATCTACGCTGCACACCAGAACAATGTCGTGCCAGGAAACATGCTGCAGCACACAGTGCCATCCGTTTACACCCACTTCAATAAATACACGAGAAAAGAAATTTACACTTCCAGGACGACGAAAGAGAATGTTTGGGGGGAGGTGAGCCCTGGCACCTGAGGAGCGGCTGCTAGCCTACGGTGGGAACGCGACTAAAGCTAGTGTTGTTGTTCTGCCCGGTGCCGTTGGGGGTGAGAGACCTGCTGTTGCCGGCCCTTTACAGAGGTTTAGAAATACCCAGGTGTGTGCGTGTGTCCCTGCGGTGTATGTGTGGAACCTCAGGCTTCTGAGGCGGGCGCCTCTTCCTCGGGTGAGGGACTCGTACCATTGCTTTCGGGCTCCTCGGGCTCCGCCACGGCCTTGGCGGCCTCTTCCACGGCTTCGGCCGCGTGGGCCACTTCTTCTGCCACCGCCTCCACTTCCTGCGCGGCCTCGGCGACCACCTCAGCGGCCTCAGCAACCACCTCCGCAGCCTCTGCCACCACCTCGGCGGCTTCGGCCACCACTTCAGCAGCCTCCTCCACTACAGACTCTGCAGTCTCACCGGCGGCCTCCTCTTCCCCGGCCTCGGCCTCAGCCTCAGCCTCAGCCTCAGTTTCAGCCTCGGCCTCAGCCTCAGCCTCCTCGGCCGCCTCCTCTTCCCCGCCTGGGACAAACAGACACACGAGGGAACAAACACCGGTCAGGTTCCAAATCCGGACCAAGATCTCTAGAGACACATGCAGAAGGCTGCAGGACTTTTCAAATGAAGTGTCATGTGGTTAATAGCTTTAAAAAAAAGCGGCAGCTTTAAGGATTTATCTGCTATCAGTGGCTATCCAAAATGTATTTGTGCTACTCAGCAAAAAAAAGAAAGAAAAAATAAGGGGAAACTATGGTCAGAGTTTTGCAGTTTCTTGATTAACTATCTGTGAGCGTTCATATTCGGGTATCCATTAAACCAAGACGACCAGCTGTACGACTATGGTAGGCCGCGGGGTCTGACCAGCGCACATCTGTCGTGATACAGTGGTTGCACTGAATTTCCTGTCAGACGGGCTGTTGGATGGAATCGCTCATCTGGCGGCCACACCGACCGTTCCTGGACAGGCCATTTAAAAAAAACAGAGACAGTCGGGGGGAGGAGTGAATAAAACAGCAACGCATGCAAGACAAAAACGGCATGCAAACTCGGAGGAAGAAGGGGGGGGGGGGAGAGGGGGAGGGGTTCAGGTGCAGGATAGAAGGGGTGAAGTTAGATTTGGTTCTTACCATCCAAAAAACAAGACATGAGAGATATCTGGAAGTGAAGTCTGACAGTGAAAGACACTGAGACAGATCAGGTGGGTTGTGCTTCTTTAATCTTTAACTCTGGGGGGTGTTTCACATCATGACATAAACGAAGTACACTAATCGGGAGGGGGGGGGGGGGGGGACACCCCCAAAAGTTTTGACCGGGGAGAGGGGCTGAGGGTTTTTGGGGGGGGGGGGGGGTTTTGGGGGGGGCTTTCTGTAATGATTCAGAGGGACCAGAGCTCTGCAGGATGCTGAGGAACCGCCGCTCGCAGCAGTGCGTGCGCACGTGTTAGTCTGCGGGCGCCAGCTCCTTCCTGACCGCCCGCAGTGTCCCAGAAACAGGGCAGCGCCACCCTGCAGAGGCGTCCGCGGTCAGTCCGTCCATTACAGGTCACTGCAGCGAGCCCGCCATCTCTACACCGACAGGCAGCAGCACAACCCCCCCCAAAAAAACCCAACCCAAAATCAAAAGACATCCAGAGTTCTGTCCGGAGGTTCTAGGCAGAGCAGGTAGGAGGAGAGGAGGGAAGGAAGAGGATAGGGGGTCGGTTTTTGATTTCCCGTTCACATCCAAAGCGCCCAGTTCTGGACGAATATCCATGCGGCCACAGAGGGCCTTAGCTTTAGCATTACACTGAAAGAGTAAAGACACAGAGAGTTAGAGAGAGTCAGAGAGGACATTCGGCCCTGGAAGAGGCAGGTTCAGTATCACACAGCAACACCGCAAGCACAGACGCCACTGCGCTGGAGACGGAGGGCCGCCGACTCCATGGCTTTATGGATTATGGGTTAAAGACACAGCACAAGGCTTCTAACTGCATGTACCAGTGTGCAGGGCGGGGGGGGCTGGCTTAAGGCCGGGGGACAGGGCCCGAAACACTAAAGGCTCAGAGAGGGACGTGGCTAACACTCCTAAACCTGCACAGAGCAACGAGGGACGAACGGGGACACAGCCCATAGCAGAGCTCCGCTACCGTTTAAAAGGTAAATTGTGTAGTATCTTATTAGCTAAAACCATTTTCTTCATTTGTAAATGTGTCCATATTTGGTGTAAAATGAACTCTGCAATGATCTGACTTCTCATGAGGAAGAATTTCCTATCTGCATCTACAACGGACGGGTAAGTCCACAGAGGTTTCAATGGAGTTCAGCCATTTTGAAAAACTACAATGGCAGAGAGGGACATAAAGCACTAGTCTATCCATCTAGCTAATCCACAACGCGTTTTCTTCAGAGCCAGAGTCACATGACTGACACCAGCTCTGATAAATGAGAGGCGCTCACTTGTCACCTCTATGCTAGTAGCTACCCCAGCTAATTTAAAAGCTTGAATTGCACTTTGGTCTATAAAGGAGGATCAGACTTATACCCGAGAGAAAACCGAAATACGTGGAAGTCATGTTGTCATTACTTCTTGATTAATGACGGCTATCGTGGTTGTAATACCCATTTGAAAACGCAAGGCACTAGAGAGCACCATTTGTTAGAATGCTAAATACAATATCCCCGTTAGATGGAGAAAGTCCAACACTGTGGACCTTTAACTGTATATTTACACGTGACTAGTGAGCCCAGCACAGCTCTGATTGGCTGTGCTTCTAACTGATAACGTGTACGTAAAGGTCAGACTCTGATCAGGGTCCAGCCGGACCGTGTTCTGACCCGACCCCAGCTCTTTGTTAACGAGGCTGGGCTGTGGCCACCGTGGGCTGCTATCCCGGGTTTGCTTTCTCCTGACCGCTGCCTTTATCTAAGCCTGTCGGAGTGGGGGGGGTGCCGGTGTGAAGGGTGACCCCCGCCATGGGGGGAGATGGCCACGGTATTAGGTGGGGGTCAGTCCCATGCTCTCAGCGGCTCGCCATGTGTGACGGCATTCAGAGTGGTCAGGCAGTGATGGTGAGGCAGAGCGACGGGCGTGTGACGGAGCTACTCACCCTCTTCTTCATCACGGCCTGCAAAGGCAAACAGAAGCACAAGATTCAGCCCCCTTACAGCTCCACGTTTAACATCCGAACCAGTGAGAGCAGCTGCAGGAGCTCAGCTCAGCCGTTTCCTAATTCTAGGAAGCTAGAACCAAGAAACTATTACTATTGCTATCATTACTGTTATCACTATCATTAACATTACTATAAGAATAATATTACATTTTATTTGAAGGCACCTTTCCCAATACTCAAGGACACAGTACAAAGATGCATTAGAAGAAACAAAAATAAGGATTTTTTTTTTTTTTTAAATCAACAAAATTAGGGTTGTCAAAAGTTTTGATACTTTAAAAAGTAACGATACTAAAATGTTGTATCCAGATACGATACTCGTTTTAAAAAAGTATCGAGCATTCCAGCACACCCTTAAGCATTAGCATCTCCTGACCCACAGGTCTGTGTCCTGACCATTAAGACGGCCATGTTCATTTGAAGCTATCGGTAAAATGTCAGTTGTGTGGGATGATTTTATCTTATTTAGCGTTTCTCCCTGAATAAACAGGTCAGTGTCTCTTTACCAACCTGTGTGTATTATTCTAATTCAACTGGCTAGTTGTTATCAGAGTAAATCCCTGTTCAACACGAGTCTGACAACTAAGTAAGTAGATAAATATCTCTAAACTTTAAAACATGCTCTGATGGGCCGGGATCGGATGGGAAGTGCAAAAAGCTGGATGGGGACATCCCTAATGTAAACCATGGACCAGAACCAGCTCTCTGCCTGGGTGCGTGGAGCTTTCTCTGGTCCCACTAAACGCCGCTTTGCGTGAATGAGCAGGAACTTATTTTTAGATCTGCCATTCAGGATCAAACAAACTAATCTCATCCGTCAACAGCGGAGCGCGGAGCCAGCTAGTGACAAATAAACAGCCCCTCAGAGAGACATCCCAAACACGCTCAGAGCCCGACCCCAGACACACAGCCAGGCAAAAGGGGGGGGCTTCCCCTCCCAGCACCAGGCAGAGGATCTGATGGGGGTTTTAGGAGGCTTTCTCTGTAGCACAAATGGGTGGTCTCTTCCTCAAAACTTTCTTTTGTTTGCTCTTGTCTGTACTAGGGATGTCCCCATCCAGATTTTTGCACTTCCGATACAGATCCCGGCCTATCAGAGCATGTATTAAAGTTTAAAGATATTTAGCTACTTACTTGTTACTTAGTTGATTCATGGATTTACTCTGATAACAACTAGCCAGCTGAATTAGGGGAGTTTGAATAATACACACTGGTTGGTAAAGAGACACTGACCTGTTTATTCAGGGATAAACACAAAATAGACTAAATTATAAATAAACGGAAATGGCATCAGTGAACAGTAAAACGTGCAAATAATATGTAAACTGTATTAAAAAAGCAAAACACACAAACAACCTGAATTGAAAATAGTCTTTTAACTCTGTTTTACATCCACCTCTTCGTCTTTTTCGTCCTTAAGGATAAAATAATCCCACACAACTGACATTTTTACCGATAGCTTCAAAAGAACATGGTCAGGACACAGGCCTGTGGGTTAGAGATGCTAATGCTAATGCTAATACTTATGGGTGTGCTGGAAAATGGCCGGACCGGACATTAGGGAACAACACAGCAAAGTGGAATGGATTATTTTAATCGGTGTGCTGTAAAAAAAAAAAAAGGATCAGGAGTCTGGATAAGCCGGACGATCCGCATTTTTTGCCGATCCCGATCCAAATGTCGGATAGCGGGGTAGCCTAGCGTGCGTGGATGCTAACCCGTACCTCGGCGGGACGGCCGTTAGGACAGGGGACTTACTTTTCGGTGGCCAGGGTTTGGGTGTCCACTCCGACTTGGGTCTGGCTTTGATTTCGGTGATGCGTTCGTTGAACCTGGCGTGGTCCGTGGTCACCGTCATGTACGCCTGTGGGGGGGAGAGAACGGGGTTTCAGGGCACCCGGCCGGTCGGGGTGGGGGGGGTATAGCAAACCTGGCATCACTTACATACGACACGGCCCCCGCAAAGGCTCCCCCACACAGCAGGGTGTAGACGATGTTCTCCCCCGAGCCGCCGGGTACCGAGGACATGGCCCGCCGCGGCGCCACTGGGGACAGACCACAGGGACACGGGTCAGAGCCAAAGACCCGGACTCACGGTGGGGAAAAACACTGGAACTCGGAGCCTGGGCCCTGGACTCTGCCCGCCCTGTGAGGAGAGGAACGAACGGACCTCTGCTGGCCGGCGGTTTGATGACCGTAGCCAAAAAAAGACAAACACCTGTCAGCACATGTTGGATGTTGGCGAGAAGGCGGCGGGGGCTATGCCGACCATCCGGGACAAAGCCCCTGAGGCCGGACAGCTCCAGGCCCGGACATTCCCACATTCCCTACTCTGAGAGAACCTTTAAGAGGAACTAGGGATGTCCTGATCCAGGTTTTTGCACTTACGATACCGATCCTGGCCTATCGGAAAATGTATTAAAGTTTAGAGATATTTAGCCTACTTACTTAGTTGTCAGAAAGGGATTTATTCTTATGACAACTTCTTGGTTAGGACACAGGCCTGTGGGTTAGGAGATGCTAATGTTTGTGTTACATCGGACTTAAAAATAAAATCTGGATCGGGAGTCGGGATCCATGGACGTTTCCCGTGGTCCTCTTTAGGCTTGTCCCAATCCGATATTTGCAAAAAAAAAACGAGGCCGAGAGGCCGGACTCCTCTCAAACGTGTTCCCGAACACGTGGTCACCAAGACCGATGGAGGGAATTCCAAAAGACTCCTGTATGACTGAACACCAGAACCGGAAAGGGCAGCGGCCCGGAGGAGACTCCAGCCTGAACGGGCACGCAAAAGAGCCCGGAAACCGAGCCCATGTGGACCTCAGAAAGATTCAGAAGTGACCGACAGCTGGTCCAGCGGAGGCCAGAGGAAGGCCGGGCTCCGGTCCCGGTCCTGTCCAGGGTTGAGGGTATTAAAGCCCTCATGCTCTTAGCGGCTAATCTTGTGTTGGTGATATTTATACCTGCTAATCCGCTCAGGTCTGACAGGACACGGAAGAGGTGGTACATATCCGCTGACCTCTGAGGGGGCCGCGGGTCAGGAGGTCACGGGATTAGCCCATGACACCCTCTCTATTTAACTTGAGACCCTTCCGGGATCAGTCCGGTGAGGAGTGGACGTCCGTGGACGCGCGTGGAGGCCCCCCCCAGCATCCATCTTCGCCCCCCGTCATGGCGGCGCGGAGGGATGAGGACGTCCCGGTTTCTGCCTCTGACTTTCACAGCCGTGACACGTTACGACAGAGGAGCTGACCCCGCACGCGCCGCACGCACGCGGCACCGCGCGCGCGCTCACAGCTACAAACCAACCTCTGCCGCACGCGCCTCAGCTTTCCAGTTGACCACCGTCAGCCACGCGAACCACGTGACCAACAGCGGCAACCATGTTTCCACGGCACCGTCAGATAAGTGAAGGTCACAGAAACAGGAGGGGGGCCCACGCGCGTCACGTACACGGCCACGTCCGCGAGTCCAAAGTCGCTGGCAAACACGAGACGATGTTCTGAGCTTCTGGTCCAGTTCGACCCGCTTAAAAAAACAAACTAAAAACGTTCACATATGTAAGAGGCCAGAGCTGCTAGCCCGGATTCCAACGGTTTCCCCACAGCCGCGTGCTGGGTTCGCGTGGGTTTTGTAACAATTACGTGTTCCCCACGCGCAGACGCCTGAACGTGCCAGCAGCTCGACACCAACACGAGGCCCCATAGCCCCCCGGTAGCCCCCCCCCTGACCTTCAGGCCAGGCCGGGGCTCGCTCCGTGGATGCGGCTATGCGGACAACCCGGAGAGGACACCGTGTTCTCCGGGCTTTCGTTGCCGGGCTACCAGCTAAATGTCCCGGCGAATTGAGAGCGGGCCGTGAACTCACCATCCCGGGGCGACCTGAGGGCTGCCCTCCGGGCCAGAGGCCCACACCTCTGCCAGGCCGCTCTGCAGGAAAACATGCTGCTCTCTTAGGGGGCGACGGTCACACACGCACTGCGGGGCTGGCGGAGTCCGGAGGCGGGGAGCGAACCTGCGTCCTGCCCTCTCCTGCGGAGCTGCGATGTATGAGGTGCGAGTAGTGCCACCACGGCTCTATGAGGGGCGAACCGTGCGCAGTACGGCGGTCACGTGCAACGGCACGTACCACTGCTGATATAAAAACATTAAATAAACATGTTTGGCAATACAGTGGAACCTCTACATACGAATTTAATCCGTTCTGGGACCTACTTCGTATGTTAAAATACTCGTATGTTGGTTCAAATGTTCCCATTGGAATACAATGTGATTCACATAATTTGTTCCACAGCTCAAAAACCTACGATAACTCCTCAGTAAATACTGCAGATAATTACACATAGCAATAAAACAAATGCATTATATAAGAGATATTTAAAAAGAAATAGATTATAAAGAAATAATCAATAAAAATTGGGATTTATTGGCATACTGAAATGAGAAGAAATGGCTAAAAGCAACGTGTAAAATCAGGTCAAATAAGTTCTTTTGACAGTGAAAATGTTTCAAACTTTTTAGTATTCATGAAACTTCATTGTGTAACTGTACATTATTCATTTGAGGACTCTTTTATGTCGGAATTATCCATATTTATAACTTCAGGGGACTTTTATTATTTTTCGTCTACTTTGTTCCATAACGTACATTGGAAGGGTGCCGAATCATTTGAATGCAGAGATAAACCAACTCAGCTCAACTCTAAAAAGCTGCATGCTGGATATGCGGTACTTTAGGAGTTTTTTCCTTCACTTCACCTTTTTCAAAGATCCGGCAGATCGCTAAACAGCCGGGCCTCTAGTGTAGTTCAGCTTTTTGAGGCCTATGTGAGGGTTTTTTTTCTTTCTCAGTAGGTATGCATTGCGGCATTTAGATCTTCTTGGAGACTTTTAGATGGTCCTCAGTGGCAAAAGGTTTATGTTTCTGCAATTAGCCGACGCTTTTATCCAAAGCGACTTACAAAGTCGTAGCAATGTTGTGACAATTTCATTCTTTTGTTTCTTTGTAACTTTTTCTGATTTGAGTGTTTCATTTACCTTCCCTACAAAAAAAGTTCCACTATTTCCATTTTGCTGATCCTCCATTAGTTTTCTTGCGCAATAAGGCAAAACCCACTGAAAACCTTCATATTCCCTGCTGCATTTTACAAATCTACTACAATAAACTGCTGCACTGTTACTTTTATTTCCTGTATATCATTAATTTCATTCTGTTGAACCTATGTCTAATGTGTTTTTAGTTTCAATGTATGACATATATGGATATACATACATGTATAAAATCAAAAAAACCTTTGAATTGTGTTGTACAGGAGGTGTTCTGTACAAATGCGTTTACCGTGCTTTGCTTTGAGTGTTGAACTGAAGAAGCAGGCTTCCTTTATCCTTGCAGCAGCACTGTTTACCCCTCATACATCATGGTGAATTTCTCTTTCTGGGGAAGGTCAAATGGGACCTGTGCTCATGATGTTCCCCAAACTGTGATTCTAATTTTAACTCGAAATCCTTCTATCTTATAATAGCATTTTACTATCAAGATGTCTTCTTGATAACATTCTATATTTGTGTTTAGCAACTTCACAGGAACTTGACAGAAATATAAGATGCACTTGTAGGAAATACAAGATATCAAATTCGATTATGATAGTGATAACAGTGAAAGCACATAAGATAATAAAAGATCATTAATTCCTTTTGAAAATCAGTCTCTTTAGTTCTGATGCTAGTGCTCTAAACTCTGCAGGGACTTCTATAAACTGTATACCTCATTATGCAGGTAGTGAAGGATCTGTGCACTGTTTTCTTTCAATAGCAATTACAAACATCTTTATGAAAAAGGTGTGAAAGTGAGCCCTCAATGAAGAAGCACCAGCTGTCTAATAATACAAAAAAAAAAGCTCCTTTAGTCCCTGCCTGCATGTCTGGACTGGAAATGACTTCTTCCTGGATTAGGGTTTAATGTGGAAATATGTCTGGCAGACTTTCAGGTTTGTGGTTGAATGAAACCTGTGTCACTAACTGACTTTACAGATAAAAAAAGAAGAATAAAGAATTCATGATTGAATCATTTTCACATCATAAACATTTAATTAACTTAAATTGAGGGAATAGAGGTGACAGAAAGAGAAGCAGAAAAACGACTTCCTAAAGACAGGATGTAGTGGCCTCCTGTGAGAGACAAAAAAAGAACAGATTAGGATTTTTTTTTAAATATACATTTGACTTATTTGTTCATGTATTGATTTTCAAATGTTTGGTATAAATTACTGGATGATCTCTGAAGCCTGGCACACGCTGACTTGCTCCTTAATGAAAGGGGAGACCCTCACCTGCCACTCTGGAGAGTTACTGAAGGCCATTCCTCACTTTGTACTCGTGCACGTCTGTGCTGTGCTGTTTGAAGAGCTGCAGGTGGAAGACAGCAAACGTCTCATCACTCACAAGTAGCAACCTTCTATGTAAAGCCCCCAGAATATCCTTTCAGAGTGATAATTGAATGTCAAGGCGAGAAGTACTAGTAAAAACCAAACACTAATCGCAATAGAAAACCATTTTAAATTGTCAATTTTTTTTTTCTTTTTTCAATCCCTGAATGTGTAGCAAGAAGTTACCGTTAAAAATTTAAAACGGGGCTTACAGAAAGTCGTGAGCAGGAAAGAGCCCTAACAGAAGCTGACTGTCGGGAGTAAAGCTGAGAAAGGGGTCACCATGCTGCTAATTGTTAAACTCAGAATGACAGCAGCTTTGAAAAATGCCCCAATGTCACTGTAAACCAGAACTAAACGCAGGGCATGGATTTATGAAACAGTTTCTGTTTACATAGTACAGTAGAACCTCTACATACGAATTTAACTCGTTCAGGGACCTACTTTGTATGTTAAAATATTCGTAAATTCGTTCAAATATCCCCATCAGAATACACTGTAATTTGTATAATTTGTCCCAAAAACCTGTGATAACTCCTTAATAAAAACTACAGATAATTACACATAGCAACAAAACAAATGACTTATAGAAGAAAGATGTAAAAAAAGAATATTTATAAAGAAATAATGGAGACTGAGATACAGGACGTACCGTAACTTACTCTAACGTTGACTATGTGAACTTTAAACCAACTTAGTTTATTTATTCTTATATTTCATCTATTTTTTCTTATGACTTCGACGTCAAATTTACTTCGGGTGTCGAGCCGAATATTTGATCGAATTTCACTTCGGATGTTGGAAAATTCAGGCAATCGGAGGTAGAGGTTCTGCTGTATTTCCCGAAGAGGAATATGAAAACATCAGATGTAGGTGAACCAGAGCATTCCTCTGGGGTGGCGGGGGCCATCGGTACCTGCTCAGCACCTCACCGTATTTCTGCATTTCCTCTGGGGGCTGACCCCAAAAGGCTGAACCAGGCCGAGCCCAGGTTCTACCTGAGCCCAGCAGGTACCAATGGACCGCCCCCCCACCCTCCAGACGGCTGTGTGTGGGGCAGATGGCGGGTCTCATTTACCAGGCCCCACAGGAAGGCAGACGTCCCAAAGGCCAGACCCACTCGCAGCCAGTTGGGGTTGGCCGTGTCAGGCTTGGAGCTGGTGAACGCAGACCTGGATCCCACTGAAAAACAGTCAAGTGTCAAAGGGACCAGACAGCTTTAGACGATAAAGGAACACAACCAGTGCAGGAAAACAATCAGATTTAGCCCAACAACAAGGGCAGTGACAGCTCATTTAGCTAAAACACACACAAATGCCAACTAATTATCAAAAAAGGAAGCTTTAAACTTGACCGAAGTCCTCTAATATCAGCTCTTTTTTAAAATGTTTTACGAAGCATGCAATGCTTCCTTTGTTAAAAATATAATTTTGCACGAACTGGTCAAAAACAATCACGTTGAAAATAACATGTTAGTAAAACAGACGTCTAAAAAACAACGGAAGCTTTGAGGCCGTCAAACAGCTAACAGAATGCTAAGCTAAGGTCAAGTTTTCAAACAAGCACAGGGTTTTTCGACAAAGGAAAAGAAAGCACGTCTCGAAATAGTAACACCAACTTGTGTGAAGTTAGTCCCGTTTTTTATAAAAATGTTTACCTCTGCTAACGAGCGCAGTTCGCGACAGTAACGTGGTGAAAGACATTTTAGCTGAAACTCGGAGCCCTCACGTCGAACGTTTAATCCGAGTGACGGTACTCGATTAAAGCGGCCGGAAGGTCTGACTAACGGAGCGCAGAGAAGTCGAGCAGAGCCCGGTGGTCAACCACATAAAAACACCCATTTTATGAGAACACAAACCCTGTTTAATATTGACTAAATTATAACCATCTCAGTTACAATCAATTTTTGTTTAGAAATAAAATCTAAAATGACTTCCTCCTTAAAACGGACTAGTTAGTCGCTCGATTAAAACGAAAATAAAAGGCGGTGAACCGAAGTAGAAACTTTATTCAGCTTTCATCCACAAACTATTTGCTTTATTGACACTTATAGCAACATATGTTGGATATTATAAAATGTCTTTTCCTAGTGATTTTAGATTAGGACTGTGTTGGTTACGTTAGAAACGTCTGGAGTCGCTACAAACATACGCTGCACATAAAAAGACAGCCATATATTTGGTTGTAACGTTTATTTTGAGCATTTTTAAATCGCGACTTTGTGCTCGACGTGCCGGACCGGTGTCTGTCACGCAGCCTCAGACAGCCTGACCCGGAGGAGAAGCGCGGCGGCCATTTTGCTCGGAAGGGGGGCCTCGGCTTCAACACGTGAGAGAGAGAGGAGCCCGAAGACACCGAAACACGCCGGGATATTATTCATGTGTGGACCCAGAGCGGCATAGGAAGCCAACACGATGCCCACCATCACGCTGCCGCCGAAGGAGAACGCTCTCTTCAAGAGAATCCTGGTAGGCTGAGCGGCCCGTTAGCGTTAGCTTGCCGGCTAACGCTGCTTTACCAAGCGGTCGCGCGCTGTAGCAGCACGAGCTAGCTGCCCGTGGGGCACAAAGCGCCTCGCTATCTCCCCGTATCTCTCGCCAGCCGTTAGCCGTTGGACCGCGGCGTGTCCGGCGGTTCGGACGGGCTGTCACGTGGCCCCGCGCGCCGTGCCTCGGCCTGGCCACACACCCAAAGTGGATCAATGACAAAGCGTTTGACACCTGACAGCGACGAGCAACTTTGGTGCGCGTGGGCGCCTGCGCTCCTCCGGTTCAAAGTTTGCCCCGTAACGTGGAAGTGGCGTGACTTCCAGTCGTGTCGTGGGTTTCGTGGTGGAATAAACACACTCACAGACACACAAACACACAGGAGGGACCTTCACGTGTTAATGTGACCGAGAGTCTTGTTTACAAGCGACGGTTGTTGGTCTGTCAGTCCTCCTGTCTGTGTGGGGCTGGACCTGGAAGGTACCGGGGTGGGAGTGTGTGTGTTTGCGCGTGCGTGTGCACTCGTGCAGGTGTCAGGCCACTTTGATCCCAACTCAATAGCCTTCCATCACATGCGTCCACTTCTAAGCTGCTAGTGTCCCACCGACCGGACTGTCAGGTGTGTGTGTGTGTGTGTGTGTGTGTGTGTGTGTGTGTGTGTGTGTG